CCCCAGATCTGCACTCTTCTCTCGCTCACGTCTATGGTGCATCAGCACCTTCTACCAGCTATGGCTACCACCCTCTCATTCTAGCTATGGCACCCTCTAGCTCTCTGTATCTGTCTTCTTCCACCACTGGTGCTTGTGCAACAGCACTCCAGCCTCCAAACAGTGCAAGGCAGAATGATCCTATGAGCCAGGGCATACCCAGATTTATACTGTTCACTTTCGCTCGTCTGCCTCTCAGGTTGCCTCCTCGAATGGTCTAGATTGCCTCATCTGGACGGCCAAGATTTGGTGCGGCCACTGTCGGACCGGAGCAAGCGGGTTTCGGAAACGTCTGGATACCTGCACTGAGCCATTGGATTATCAGTCCCAAGAAAACCTTAGACGACTCTTGTGTCCGTCTCGGGACGACCGTCGACTTTTCTAATGTCTGGTATCAACTCAAAAAAAGAGGCGTAGGGTGCCTCGTTTTGACTCTTGACCCTGGGACTGCGGACCTAAAGATTCTCTTGTGCCCTCGGTAGAGGGAGAGAAGTGAATTCTGGACCCTAGAAATGTTCAGGTTCCAAATGTCAAGACCCTAGAATTCTGGACCCTAGAATTGTGGACACTAGAAATGGAACTCACCCTTGTCCTGCTCTTGACTCAGCAGTACCTTGCCCAAATCTACTAAATTAGTAAACCTACAGGAGTGCAGCCTTTCAAATTCAACCCACCAATAATCTCTCCTGCAATCCTTTCATGGATTCGTAGTTTAGTTTTCAAAAGTGGACCAAATTCATTGCAAGTTCTTGTGCCAAGGGGATTGCCGCCTCTTTTTTTTTCTTTTTTTTTTACCCTGCTGCTTTCACCTCCCAATGGGTGCATGCAAAAGGTGTAATCAAATTTTCATATTTCTGTACTCTATTTGTCTGTTTGTTTGTTTATTTGTTGTTGATTCTGTGGAGGAAGAATGCGAGGGCAAGGGAGGGGTGGGTTAGGTAGGGTGACCGAGGTACAATTATGCACTTCCTGGATCAACAGAGTCAGTGATAACGAATGTATGTGGAGTACATTCCTGGTTAAATACAATGCAATTTCTTTGTGACATTATGCAATGATACACAAGTTCCTGTCGAAAGCCGTGGGCGACATTTCTCCGTTGAGCACAATTCCCAAATCATCATGAATGTAGACGAGCTGCGTTCCTGGCTGTACTATATACTATGTAGTACCATGCAGTAATATAGTACTATGTAATAGTAGTAGTACTGTAGTACTATACTATGTGGTATGTACTATATCAGTGTGTCATAGTATGCAGTAGTATATACTATGTAGTGCTATGCTGTAATATAGCACTATGGAGAACTATGTTAGTGCAATGTCAGAGTTGAACTTTTGAAGCGCCAATCTTCAATTTTTTTTATATTTTTGTTTTTGGGAGCCAATCTTCAATTAATTGGTCCTCCAATAGGTCTCGCTGTGCGTCTGTCCATTTTCTCATCTGGTGGCCATTTCTGATGCTGAGTACTGCTGCCATCTGGCATATACTTTGTTCTTTTTTGGACTTCCAGGCGACGCCAAATTTGCAAGTGCGCTTGTCCGTATGAGGCATACACGTGCTGTCGTGGGATTGAAGTGGAAGACGACCGCACAGGTATGGATGGTTATTCAGTTTTCCCTTTTCTTCTTCTTCTCTCTTCTTCTTCCTTTTAAAAATAATATGTATCTATATATATATACATATCGTTATGTGACAATATATATATATATATATATATACAGCCCCTCGTTTGTTGTCCTCTTCTCCCTCTCTGCCTACGGTTTACCGGGCAGTTCTATTTGACGATATATATATATATATTTGACGATATATATATATATTTGGTATCACTTGACGAGCGCCCTATTTGTTTCGCCTTTTCGTTCTTCATGTGGAACTTCAAAGTGCAAATGTCAGAGAATGCTCGTCTGATTACACTGCGATTCGAACTCGTGGTCTGTTCATCAAACAGTTTAATGTCGAACGGATGCTCATCTGATTGCACCGCGATTCAAACTTGTGGTCTGTTCATCAAACAGTTTAAATCACTAGTACCTTTGCTGCGTGGGAAAATAGCGGGCCTCGGGTGGGCCTCTGACCTTTTCGGAGGCCGAAACGAAACAATGGCAGTCGATCAGATTTATCAATGGCAGCCGTCGTCGGGCCCGGCTTCCGAATTTTTAGGAGTTTGGGAAAACGTCCACTTTCCCCTAATTTCCCAACACTGGCGGAGGTACTAGTGGGGTTTTATGTCAAAAGGATGCTCATCTGATTACACCACGATTCGAACTCGCGGTCTGTTCATCAACAGTTGACAGCATTACATGTGTGTAGTCTTGTACCATTCAGGGTCCCCAAGGGCCTGGTTCTGCAATCTTTTTTTACTTCATCTCTGTAGGGAGAAACTTTGCGCAGTGATAGCATAATGTGTCCCCCACTGCTCAATTACGAGCGCCGAGACAGAGGAGGACCTTAGCTATGACGACAGGAGGCGTACCAGTCATTGGGGAGGAGCAAACAGACGCCCACGAGGAGGCCAAGCAGTGCAAGGGATTTGAACCCTCAACCTTTTAGCTTTGCCGCTTCTCAACGAGTATGTCGTTATATATAAGAAGTAAAGAACTCTATGCCAAGTGATAGCATGATGCGTCCCACCCCAACCTCGTGCGATCTCCTACATCCTCTCCCCTCCTCCATGGATTCTCGTCATCTGCCATGCTTATCATCCTCCTCTTCGTCCCTCGTTCTCCTTTTGTTTTATCTTCCTCCCCGTTCCTCCATTCTCGTCGTCCCCTCGCTCCTCTTTTCCATTCATCGTTGTTCCTCTCCCTGCTCTGAGCGCACACGTGCCACATGCCCCAAATGTCTTTCTCCCTCCTCCTCCTCCCTCCTCCTGTGTTGATCCTCGCTCGTCCGTCATATCTTTCCATCGCTGCCCTTTTCCATATTGATGCGGCCCCCGCCTGGCTCCACGGGTCTGGTGGGAAACGGAACTGAATGGGCGGGGTGAAAGAAAAACCGCAGCGGCGAGGAACGGGACTTCGTGTGCTCCCGACACTGCAGAACGGGGCGTGTCGCGTGCAACAGGGGGAAAAAAGAATGAGCCTGTGGGAAACAGTTTTTCTCCTGGCCCCGCACGGGTACCTCACTCGGGCCACTTTGTGGGCCTGCCGCGCGGCACTGATTTTCCCTGCGCCCGCTGGGAAGCATCACGTCGGGCCCTTTGCAGTTTTTAAGAGTATAGAGAAGAGATGAAACGATCCTCTCCCCCTTTTATATACAGAGCCTTTACTGACCTTCTACCTTGCATGATATGATCTTCAATTCCTACCCATCCTCTCCTTGCATTTGTCTGTGTCTGCTCCTCCATTGGTAACTAGGCATTAGAAGGGGACTCGTTCATGCTACCTACAGCCACTCAAACTCCCTCCGGTGTGCAATCCATCCTAGTGGCGCTCTCTGACGTCCTCGTCTCCACATATTCTTGGGGTTCAGGAAGAGACATTGTGTTCTATTGCTATTGCTGCACTGGGGGCAACCCCTTCCGCCATTGCCTCCGCCTCTGCCCCCAAAAGGCCATACGGGATGGTTTCCACCACCTCCCATGACATCCATACCAGACCCTGCTCCATCTCTGCCGTTGCCTGCATCTTTATCAGGATCGGCCCGAAGTCGACTGAGTGTCTGATTCCCGCCGGATCCTCCCATTCCTCTTAATCTCTCTTTTACACCCCCGAAAAACATGTACGCCGGTTGGCATGTCCTCTGTGATGCTTCCCCTCAAGGCCGCCACCGTACATTGGCTATCTGGTGCAGTGATCAGAGCAAGCGATTTGTACACTGCCACCTCGCAGTCACTGTGTCTCGTTCCATCCGTACGGAAGAATGGTCCTGCGGTTGGTACCGTTTCTTGCTTCAAGCCTCACTGCTGCTTCAATTTCCTTCTGCCGCCCCCTAGCAATCTTGGTGCGATTGATGTTGGCTTCTCCCAACTCCCTGTTCTGGTCCTTGGCACGTTCGCCTGTGCCTCGAGGATTGCTGCCTGCCTTTGCAGATCCTGCTTTGGGTCGTCCTCGGGTTCTTGTGCCTCCTGCTTTTGTTCACATTGTGTGTTTGGACTGTTTGCTGTCCGTGTCAGTCTTTGGCCATGTAAGTTGCTTTGTAAACTGGGCCTCGTTCTCACTTCCATATTGTTCTTCCGCACTCGAGCTTTCCATCCGTATTGTATTACCTAACCTCATTTTCCTGCTGTTCCGCCTGCAGGGCCCCGAATCTGTTCTCCGTCTTGATACCATCTTAGGATCCCGTCGCTTGCTTTAAAATTTAAATTCCGCATGTGCTTATGGTGTGCCAGCATAACTTCACATTCCACCCTTCGCCCCCACTGCAATGACTGCACCCACTTCGTCCACCACTCCAAACGAGTCCCTTTCCTATTCTTCCTGCTCCTCTGTCTCCCAATCGCCCCCCTCTTCCTCCTCTGCATCCTGCTGCTTGTCTGCTGAGTCTCTAGCTGTATCTTCTGTCCCCGGGATCCGCATGTCTGTGTCCGTTTTGGATTTTCCTTCGTCCCGCAGTTGTTTGTTCTTTTAGTTGATAGATATGTGACAATATATACAGACACGTCCCGCAGTTGTTTGTTCTTTTAGTTGATAAATATGTGACAATATATACAGACACAATACATGCGTATATATTTTCTCAGTTTTCTGAACTCTTCGAATGTTTTTGTCCACATTTCACAAATGTGCACTTCGTTCATCATTCTGCGATAATACTCCTCGAAGCTGGACCCTTACCTGCACATGCATCTTCAGATGTACACCACTGGAGACACGTGTGTGTGTGTGTATGTATGTATGTATATGAATCAATGAATGAATGCAAGTACACGTATGTATTGGGTGCATGCATGTGTAAGTACAGGGGGGCACACCTGTGCAGATGTCTGTATGTCTGTATTTATATATTCATAGCATGATATGCTAAGCACACAAAGCAAGCAAACCATCAAAAACACAAGTCCCAAGAACTTCAAAGACCGACTGAAATAATAAAACTGATGATAGATGGTTTCATCAGAGTTGCACCGAACCTCGACAATCTGTAGAATCCCCATATTGATGGTTTGGTTCATGAATCATTTGACCCTTGTTGGAGGCAGACTGCCCCCAAGCGGAACGTAACGGCAGGCAAGAACTCAGCGAAGCACCGAGCAACCCAGCTGCACAACGCCAAGAACAACTGCATGAATGACAGGGCAAACGGACGAGCAGCTTGGCAACAGAGCAGTGAAGCGCAAGCCAACACCAACGAAGCAGCCAAACTGCATGGCACATGAGCAAATGACGTGGACGGGAAGGCATGCGGATGGGCAGCAAGGCAGCAGAGCAGCGAAGCACAAGGCAACACTAACAAAACAGCTACACCACACCGTGAACACAGCAGTTTCGAACAACGACATGTGAAGCAAGCGGGACAGGCATTAAGGCAGTGGTGGAGCGCAGACAAGGCTGTGCACAAATCCAACACGGAGCACAGCAGCACATCACCTCCTCACATCACGAGTGAACCCTGTAGACTGTTGGTTCCCACCACCTGCTGAACCAGGAGGCCACTATGACGGGAATCCATCATCATCCATAAATAAAAATCCACAAAAAACGAATTCGAGCTTCCTCAGATCATATAACAACGATTTCGTCAAAACGGACATTTTATATTTTTGAACGAAATTGAAACCTTCTTATTTGGCCCAAAAAATATCACCGTTTATTTCTTGAGGGTCCATTTGAACTGTAACTGAAGTTTAAGTACATCCAAGGGGGGCCCTGAGGAGCTAAAAGGGTGACATCTTCAGGGCCAAATGAGTGGGTTTCAATTTCGTTCAAAAAATATAAAATTAAAAATATTCGTTTTAACAAAATCATTGTTATATGCACTGCAGACATGATTGGCTCCCCTAAGAGTCCTGCAGGCGCTCTAGACCACCAACCACCGACTGTTTAGCACTTGTTGAAGGTGCTCACCCAGACACTAACACACACACAATACGTGTGCAAACACATGCACACACAAAATCACACGCACAATGTATGCATGTATATGAATCAATAAATGAATGAAAGTGCATGTGTATGCATTGTATGCATGTTTCATTACAGGAGGTGCACACATGTGCACATGTCTGTATATGTGTGTGTGTGTGTGTGTGTGTGTGTGTGTGTGTGTGTGTGTATGTGTGTGTGTGTGAATTTATGTATCTTTATACGTATGATTGTATTTCTGTCCTGGTCCGGGTTCAACGCAGGAGCACTCAGGTCGACCGTCTTGGACCCGAGGATCTCTTCACAAAGAGGCCACAGGGGACCCCTTGCTCCTAAGGTCATGCGGGTACGTGGGGCGGGGAGAGGGGGGCGCGTTGGTCTGTTCGTCAAAATATGGCAGGGCACATCTGGGTCAAGACAGTCAGGACAGGGGCGCTCGAGACTGGATTGAAGCACATCACACGCTTACAGCTAGTTATCAGACACAGGAGCTCAGTCTCTCTCTTTCTCCTCGTCTCTTTCTCTCTTCCTCTTCTTTTTCTTCTTTCTGCTACTAGCTCTTGCACT